CAGAGTCTGTGATTAATGAGAAACTGGATATTTGTTTCATGAAGGTCTTGACTACCATCTCGTTGCTTGTGTCTGCCATTAACACGGTATAATTCAAGTTTTGGGAATTGTTATATAAGACAGTAAATAACTGTGGCTGTTTTCGAGAAAATTAGAGCCACGAATAACGTCTGAGTTACTTTATACAGGCGCAGCAATTGTTCTATGTAAGCGCTAATAATTCCTCCCGTAAGATTACCGATGATGATTTTTATAAGACAACTCGTCATATTTTCTATAAGATTACCGATTATGACGTTTATAACACAAATCATGTTTTCTATAAGATTACGGATCATGATTTTTATAAGACAACTCGTCATGTGTTCTATATGATTACCGATTATGATTTATATTAGAAAACTCATATTTTCTATAAGAATATCGATAATGACTTTTATAAGACAACTCGTGTTTTCTATAAGATTACTGATCATGATTTCTATTAGACAACTCATGTTTTATAAAAGAATACCTACCGATGACGCCTTTTATAGGTCAAATCATGTTTTTATAAGATTACTGGTCATGACTTCTGTAAGACAACTCGTGTTTTCTATAAGATTACTGATCATGATTTTTATTAGACAACTCATCACTTTTTCTATAAGATTACCGATGATGATTTTTATTAGACAACTCATGTTTTCTATAAGAATACCGACCACGATTTTTAGAAGACAACTCATCACTTTTTCTATAAGATTACCGATCATGATTTTTATAAGACAACTCTTTTTTTCTGTGAGATTACCGATGATGATTTTTATAAGACAACTCGTCATATTTTCTATAAGATTACCGATCATGACGTTTATAAGACAACTTATGTTTTACATAAGATTACTGATCATGATTTTTATTAGACAACTCACGTTTTCTATAGTAATACCGATGACGATTTTTATAGGACAAATCATGTTTTTTATAAGATTAGTGGTCATGACTTTTGTAAGACAACTCGTTTTGTTTTCTATAAGATTACCGACCACGATTTTTAGAAAAACAACTCGTCATTTTTTCTATAAGATTACCGATCATTATTTTTATAAGACAACTCATATTTTCTATGAGATTAGCGATCATGATTTTTATAAGAAAACTCATAGGTTTCCTAAGATTACCGATAATGAATTTTATAAGAAACTCCTCATGTTTTCTATAAGATTATCGATCATTATTTTTATAAGACAACTCGTCACGTTTTCTATAAGATTACCGGTCATAGCTTTTATAAGACAACTCATGTTTTCTCTAAGATTACTGGTTATGACTTTTATAAGAGAACTCGTCATGTTTTCTATAAGATTACTGGTCATGACTTTTATAAGGCAAGTCGTCATGATTTATAAAAGATTACTGAGCATGATTTTTATAAGACAGCTCGTTGTGTTTTCTATCATATTACCGATCACGCTTCTTGTAACTTCTTTGTTTAATGAAACTCGTACTTTTCATAGAATTTATCATTTTAAACGGCTCGGCATGGCCAGGTGGTTAGGGCTCTCGACTCGCAATCTGAGGGTCGCGGGTTCGAATCCCCATCACACCAAACATGCTCGCCCTTTCAGCCGTGGGGGCGTTA